AGTTTTTGGAAGGGAAACAATGGTCTGACACGGCCACCCATGTCACCTGATACGGGCCGTGTTAGGAAGAAACCAGGAGAAGAGTTTTTGGTGATAGGGAGTGGGCTGACATGTGTGCCCGTATCAGCTAGTCTGGGGCATGAAGATTGTTATCAGAGAGTCAGGGGCCAACACGGCCCGTGTTGGCTGAGTCATGTCACATTCTAATTTTCTTGGATTTTTAACTTTTGTGATCCATGAGGGTATTTTAGGTATTTCCCTACTGATGTGTTGGACCTGAGAGTATTTTAGATGCTTTTTGAGAAGGAAAAAGGGACTTTTTACTGGGGAGAAATATTACGATCAAGATTGGAGCGATCAAGAGAAGTCGAGAACAAAAGATTTTCATAAGCCTTTGCAATTGAAGATCAAAGTAACTACATATCTTATAATGTTTAATCTGATTATTATTGTATTTTCTCTGAATATTACGAGTAGCTAAACCCCCGAATGCTAGGGGTGTCCCTGAATTGCTTTTGTAATGATATTGTTTTTCTTGGTTCAATGTCATTAGTGCTTATTTTCATAATCATTTTTATCGTTCAAAGTTCTTAATGCTTTTTCGATCGGACAAATAGAATTTGATTTACGGTTAACTTTAGGTCGGACAAACCTTTGTTAACGCTTTTGTACGATAATTCATCAGTAGATAGTAACTAGGACTAGGAGTATTCTATTGCACTTGGAACACTGTTGACATTATATGTAATGCTTGATTTCAAACGTAATTACCTACGAACATAGTAATTAGGTTATGAAATCAAAGGTTTTCTCACTAAGGACTTAGGAGTAAATAATTCACAATCAAGAAATTGATAGATTTAAGTCATGTCTCTGAAATAAGGATTAATGTTGTTACAAGGAAATTCATACACTGTACCCTAGCATGCTTCTCATATCTGTTCAAAACCCAATTTGATTACCTTGCTTTATTTTCTCATTGCAAAATTTTAATTATAAAAACAATTACCAAACCCCCAATTACTTTTTGTTTAATTGAATTAGTATTAGAACTTATATTCCTACGCAGTCCTCGAGATCGATTATGGGGATAAACCCCTTATTTTAATTGCAATCGGCAAAAATAATACACTTGCTACTTTTTCGATCAAACGTACGGTGGTCGAACGACGTTGAACGACGACGAACTGCAGAATGCAAAAACAGAGAACAAGGGAAGAGAGAGAAACGAAAAGTACAAATGAGCAACTTCTCCTTCTATTTATAGACGGTCCATGGGCACATGTACAAGCTCCCTTGAATTAAATGCGACACATGGCTTGAGGCACGCGTGACACTTCACCTCTTCAAATCACATAAACCCTTGGGCTCCCCGCCAGGTGACGTTACAGGTCCCTCGTGCACAGTCTCCCTTGGGCACCGAGGAACAATCTCGTCTCAGCAACGGGCGACGATCATGTCTGGTCCTCCCTGTTACTACGGGCTACCCTTAAGTCATCACTCCCATGCTCGGAAGCAACAACTTAAGGGGCTCATGTTCTGGACTGGTCCAGTGGCTAGGCATGGCCCAACCAACTTCTGCTCCTAGAACGGTCCAATTGACAAAGTCCAGCAAATTTAAAGGAAAATTTACCTTTTTGCCCCTCCACCGAGGAAGGTTGGTCGGTTGACCTCTAGGGTCAACTGCCCCTCCTCAGCAGTTCTTGCCCGTCACACACGGTTCCACCATCCAGAAACAGTCACGATGCATGTGTCTGCTACTGCGCTTATGCCCGTAGCAACGACTATTTTTGGGAACCTCTTCCCGTCCCAACCACTAGTTTCTGGCAGTTACCTATTCTTCAGGGAACAATTATTTCGCCCTGAAAATAGGGACCAATGGCCAAGCGCTGGGGGCACTATAAGAACCCTCTCATTTGAGAGGGTCAGGTATTCAATAATCATCCTAACACACACATACTCTATACTTGCCTTCTTTTCTCCCAAATCTCACTTTAATATCAGAGTGCCTTGCAGGTAAAACTCCTTATCATCTTTCACATCCAGCATCGCAGGCGTTGTCTCTAACCCACTTCAGATTCTGATCAGCCGATAAAATCAATAATAATAATGCATTCAGCAGGATTTATGATAGTCATTTATTACTTATTACTGTTAATTTCTTATTTATGTATTAATTATTATAAAAATATAACAATAATAACTTTTAAATTTGGATAAAAAACATGTGATTTGAGATGTCACCATGATTATTTTTAATTACTCTTTTTTTGTCCATTTAAAATATTGATGGAGTTATTATGTTAAATAAATAGTTGTTAATGTAATATATTTTTTTACTAATTAATATTTTTTCAAATAACTTAATATATAAATTTTATAGAATAAAAAATATATTTAAAATATAATATTTAAAATATATATATATATATATATATATATATATATATATATATATATATATATATATATATATATATATATATATATATATATATATATATATATATATATATATATATATATATATATATATATATATATATATATATATATATATATATTGGAAAATGTATACTACTAATTCAAATATGAGAAAAATAAAAGTGTCTTATAATTTAATTTATTATATTTTCACATCAATTGGTGAATGAAAAATAATGCGATTTCAATTTTGTGTGTAATTGTTACAATTACATCAAATAAATGGTAAAGTGAGTTAATAATTCAAATACGAAAGAGAGTTATTAAAGTTTAATTGATAATTTATAAAATTAAATGATTGTATACATGTGTATACGAAAAAATGCATATCATATATAAACGGATTAAAAACAATTTTATTCAATACATGTCATTTATCAATTATTGAATACAATCATTTCAAGTATTTGTATAAATATTGTTAAAACAAAAATAATACTTATATAAGGAAAAATTATATTTTGAATCAAATATTTTTATATAGAAAAAAACTTAATTATTGATTCAAATTTTTTATAAATAATGTTAAAAAAAAATAACTTTTATACACGAAAATACCGTTTTGATTAAAATATTTTTATAAATGAAAAAAAAATATTATTATTATAAATGAGAATAATTTTACTATTATTCAAATATTAAATAATGAAAATTCATCGATCAATTTTTTCAAATAAGTCAAAGTAATTTATGGAGTCTATTAAAAAAGATTGAGTTGATATATTAAAATTTTATTATCTCTTGTAAAATAATTGTCTTATTTGTTAAAAGCTAAAAAAAACTGATTTATCTGATAAAAATTTCAATAGTTTTTTTAATTATATTATTCATAATATTGTTGTTTACATTTTGTCTTTTACATATATTATTATTTTAATTTAAATTTATTATCATTCTTAATGTTTTTTCTTTTTTTAATTTCCTATTTTTATGATAGTCTACAAACAAATGCACATCCAAAAATATATCACGCACAAAAACTTATCTCGTGCATAGGTACTAGTTTCTTCTACATAATATGATGTATGTTCTTGTTGTGCTTAGAAAAAATTATTATTAATAATCATGTTTGATAATCTAGACTATTGATTTAAACACTTGTTGAAGATTTCACATGGTATAGTGATCGTAGCTAAAAGGGTCTAAAATATGTAGATTATATATTTTAAATGGTTCTAATGTTATTAATGTCAATGCATGATAGATGTCTGGAGGTTGTTTTAAGGTATTTTAATGAATGTCGCATAAGACAAGAGATAAAAATACATTTAATTGTGTTTAACATTGTGTTAGAAACTGAGTTGTCATAAAGTTTCTAGAATAAGGCAAAACAGATCAACATATATCTATTTCCAATAATAGACTTTCAAATACCTATAAAAGTTTAGAATAGAAAACATGTTAATTACTTTTATTTGAAAGTCATCAAAGTTTTATCTAAAGTGTATATCAATCTATTCTAGTTTGAAAGTAAAGTTATAAAGTGTGTCTTCAAAGATTATCCAAACGTGGTAAAAATGTTGAATTATGAAGAATAGAATTTGGAGAATTAAAATTCATCTTAATAATAAAACGCATTACTCTTAACAAATTCCATAAAAAAAAAGAATAAAAATCAAAGATATTAAAAACTATCACATCAAATAATAATATATTTTTTTTTTTTACAAATTTGAGAGCTATTTGTTACTTCTTATAAAAGTGATTATAATGCTAAGTTGTTTACAAATGAATTTTTATATTTTTTAAGAGTAAAAGTTATTGTGTTTGTTTACCAAAACATTTTTTAAAATATTTCTATAGAAAACAAATCTTAAAATAAGCCATTCAAAACAATTTTTTATTTTAAATAGTTTTTAAATCATTTTCATATTTTTATTTTTTATTATGAGAATCTAATTTTTAATTTACAAAATAATTTGTAAATTTTTGTATTTTCGTTAAAAAAAAAGTAGGTTTTTGATTTATCATTTTCTTTAAAGAAAAAAAATGTTTTTGATTTATCCCTTTCTCACCAAAAATGGCATACATTACAAAAAAAAAAAAAAAACAACAAAATATCGTGCTTAGTTTCCATACCAAACTGGTGAAGCTCAAACGCTTGAAAGGTCAAACTGAGAGTGAGTGAAGGATTGCAACAAGAAGCTTCGATTTCACACTCTCATTCTCACTCTACAATCTGAGAGAGAAAGAAACAACCTTATTCTCGCCGATCCAAAAGGTTCAATCTTACCCTTTTCAATTTTCCTTTTGTTTTTTTTTTCCCTTTCAATTGAAATAAGATATGGGGTTGTGTTTTTCTTGTTAAAGTTTCGATTTTTGAATTATGGGTTTAATTTTTTTGAGAATTTTTTGTTTTAGTGAATTTTTTTTGATAATGTGTGCTGTATGTGGAAGTTGCAAATGTACAAAGTTTTTTGTGTTTGAAATTGTGGGGTTGGATTGAAACTGAATTTGAAGAAAACTTTGGATTAATGTTTGTTGGTTTTTTCAGGTTTTACACAATAATTAGTTCAATGTCTTGGGCTGCCCCTGATGAGCTCTTACTCTCCACCTCTCTTGCTACATACCTAGACAGTAATCTCACTCTCTCTGATTTTTTTTATTTTTTTTATTATATTTTTTGTTCATGTGCATGCAGATCTTTCTGAAAAGAGCAACTTGTCCTGAATTTTTATGTTATTCTCTTCATGTTATCCTTATTAGGTTGTTTCTTTATGGGGTTTGTACCTCAATTGTTGATTGCAGTGGTTATAGTTCTTGTTGGATGGATGAGAACGAGCATTTTATGATTCTAATTTTTTATTTTTGCAGAAAAACTTCTTGTTCTGTTGCGAGATGGTCGAAAACTTCTGGGATTATTACGGTCGTTTGATCAATTTGGTAACTAACGTTCCACTTGCATTCTTCTTTGTGAAGTCTATTGTTCTTATTGTTATTTATTTCTATCTAATATTAACTGACAATTTGATGCAATGGCCATTTACAGCTAATGTTGTTCTAGAAGGTGCGTGTGAACGGGTAATTGTCGGAGATCTTTATTGTGATGTCCCTTTAGGCCTTTATGTAATTCGTGGGGAGAATGTTGTCTTAATTGGAGAGCTGGTATGAAATGTTTTTGATTGTTTCATATCGTTTGATTTTGATTACATGCTTTTCAAAGGAATCTTGATTATTTTGTAACCTTTATCATTGATTTAGGATTTGGGTAAGGAAGAGCTTCCACCGCATATGACATATGTGTCAGAGGCTGACATAAGAAAGGTTCGTCCATCAATTCTTATTTATAAAACAATTGGATATTTATTTCTCAATTTTACCATAAAAATTATTTTAATTATGAGGGCCTGAGGACCAAACAATTATCTCTCTTGATGCGTCTTGCTACAATGTTTTAAAAACTTGATTAGTCATTTTTAGGGATTTGGTTTTCATGCCGTAAATGCATGACACGTTTATTCAATGCTTTATAATATTGCGTCCTGGTGACGCATAGGAAACTTTCCAAATAATATAATTGCTGCCACTTTGGCTCATGTTGAAAACTATTGACCCATCTGTTTCGTTCTTTCTTCTAGCGAGAATTTGCCAGGTGAACTTGTAGTTTTTAAATGCCAGTTTCTGCCTCTTGTAGTACTATATAGAGTTCTCCCTCTACCTTTCCGTAATCAACCATTTCTGTCAAATCCGCCAGCCGCACTTTCACTTGCATCAGCTTCACCCTTGTAAGTTATGTTTAAGTAATCCTCTAAATCTTAACGAGTCTTATTTATCATAACGGAAGTATGCGTAGAAGCTTTGTGTTGCATATACTTAGGCTGAGCAAAACAAACGTAATCACAATTCTCCATCAGTGCCTTCACAAAATCTTCCCTCAAGACAACTCTTGTGCCTTCACAAAATCTTCCCTCAAGACAACTCTTGTGCCTTCACAAAATCTTCCCTCAAGACAACTCTTGTGCCTTCACAAAATCTTCCCTCAAGACAACTCTTATTAATCGATGTAACCCTTGGGTATGAAATTTTAATCTTGAGTCTAACCCATCCTTACAAAACCAACTTGTAAGGTGAAGAGTGCCACTCTTTATAAACTCTTTGCAGGCCTAAGTTGTTTTCAATGTGGGATTTGAATTTTTTCCAATGTTAAGGACTTTGAATGTAGCTCACATCAGATCATATGTAACGATCTAAGCTTGTGCAAGTGATAGAACAATGGATTGATAACAAGTTAAAGTGACCAACCTACATTTATGATAAAATGAGGGTCCATAGTATTTTTGTTTTTACAGTTTACAATGGATGTGAACTATGACTTATCTACCCATATAGTTACTAGGTTTGCAAGCCACCTTGCAAATTGCAAAACTTATCCTTGTGTAGTATAGTGTTATCGAATATCTGCCATGGCGGTGCTATTGTAGATATCAATAGCAGTTTTTGGACTGACTGCAAGGGTAAATATTGGCCGATATTTCCGATTTTTTCGTCATAATCCGCTATGATGGCGCCACAAAGCAGCTAGTACGACGGGATTTTGGCTCCGCCATGGACCACCATCCACCATCGATAACAATGGTATGGTACTTGTGTAAAGGTTTGCATGATTTGCCACCAAGGTAGTCAAGCACGGGATCTTAAGTAGTATCGGACGGCCTACAAAAGATCGTAAAACTAGGATCGTAATCTTACCAAAGGGTAAAATGGTAATTTCACATGGACATAAACATGAAAATAATAAATGAACAAAATAACCTATAAATCACAACACTCAACCAATTTAATTAATAGGAAAAGAACCGTAGTAGGAAGAAGGTGGACACACAGGGAGAAGAATGGTTATGATGATGGTGGAAAGTTGCAGAGAGAAGAATCGTTAAAGGAGAAGGAATAATATCGAGTAAGGAGCAAAGATGCAGCCGTTTTGTCTTTTGTGTTTTAGGGTTAGGTCTGAGAAATTAATTAAAAAGCTAGGTTCACTTAAAAAAACCGACCTGGTAAAAAAGCCCAACAAAACAGGCCCAGGCGCCCAGCACTATATTTTTTACGATCTTACTATGGAAAACTCGATCTTGACTACAAAGATACACAAAAAAGTTTTTTTCAAGATCGTAGCACTAAAAGGTAGATTTGGCACGTAAGATCTTACGATCTTACGATCCAACACTCGATCTTGACTACCTTGTTTGCCACAAATGACAAATTGAATTAATGGAAATCATGGTTGTCAGAATCTTCAGTTAACTCATACAATCTTGCTACGTAAGGTTGAGTTAGGCCAAATCCAAATTTTAAAGATGGTATCAGTCTATCCAAGATCATTGGACCACTTGCTATTAGGTGTCTACTATCAGGTCACACTCCATATCTGCAGTCTTGGCGTGAGGGGAATGGGTTAAGAGTTATTAACCTAGAGTTTTAAGTTTATGATCAAGTATCAAAATCTCGCTTTGCAAAACAATTTCTAACTAAACATGGGTAGATTCATGGAGACTTGTATATACTCACATATAGTTTGAGGAAGATTGACCAATCCTTCAAAGTAATAGTTATTTTCCCTTTACATGCCTAAAATGACAGTAGTTGAGTGATGTGTCAAAAACCCAAATGCAACCGCCATATAAGGCTTATTGTAGACCATATTGACCTCACAATCAAGGTAGTCAAGATCGAGTGCTGGATCGTAAGATCGTAAGATCTTACGTGCCAAATTTACCTTTTAGTGCTACGGTCTTGAAAAAAACTTTTTTTTGTGTATCTTTGTAGTCAAGATCGAGTTTTCCATAGTAAGATCGTAAAAAATATAGTGCTAGGCGCCTGGGCCTGTTTTGTTGGGCTTTTTTACCAGGTCGGTTTTTCGGTTTTTTAAGTGAACCCAGCTTTTTAATTAATTTCTCAGACCTAACCCTAAAACACCAAAAGACAAACTGCAACTTTCCACCATCATCATAACCATTCTTCTCCCTCTGTGTCCACCTTCTTCCTACTACCGTTCTTTTCCTATTAATTAAATTGGTTGAGTGTTGTGATTTATAGGTTATTTTGTTCATTTATTATAGTTTTTCATGTTTATTGTTCATGTGAAATTACCATTTTACTGTAAGATCTTAAGTGTCTACGATCCTAGTTTTACGATCTTTTGTAGGCCGTCCGATCCTACTTAAGATCCCGTGCTTGACTACCTTGCTCACAATTGAAGCACATGGCTCTGCATATGCATCAAGCATTTTAATGTGATTCCATTTGCAAAGGAGATGAATGATATTGCCTTGAATCTCAATCCCAAAGCTCTTGGCACAAACGAAGTCAGGAACCAAAAAAACATGAACCGATCCTTCATTGGTAGTTTGCAATAAACCCAACAGGACAAGATGTTGATCGAATCCAACTCTAATGACCTAAAGCCAGCTACAACAAGGGGAACCCAGTCCCACTATACTCTTCCCTCTTTAGTAATTGTGAATATCATGCTATTTCAATGTCCATTGATTTTGAATTTTGTATGCTTTTTTTTGTGTGCGCTTAGTTGTGTCAATGGTGTTAAAAAGTCACTATAACAGCACTACACCGCTATAACGCAGCGGAATTTGGACAAACGGCTATTGTTCTGTGAGACACTATTTAGTACAAAATGTTGTCAAATAGCGGCTATACTGGCGCGCTATAACACTTGCATAGCGGAATTTAGCAATCTGCAATTTTCTGCTATCTGTAATTGAAAACACTGCTTTGTATTGCTTATAAGGCTTGCACCGTTCAAACCCTAAAAAGCAACTTTTGTGAGGATTAGTTAAACCGAAACCCAAATTAAAATATCGGCAAGAGCCTATCCTTTATGTTAGATCTGTTTTGGGTTAACTGCATTGTCCATGCTCCAAACCCCTGGGTGTGAAGCAGGTGTTTGAAAAACTGGCTTAACTGCAGCCATCCTTGTGGTCTATTATTGGACCATTTTGTTTACCGTAATTGCCGTGGTAAAGTACCCTTTGAAGTTAGAGTCCATTTACTTTCTGAAAACACTTTTTGTTATCATTTTTTGTTTCACTTATAACTAAAGTGTTACATTGTTTTCAATCTATTTCCTGTTTTCAGTGTTTGCACAAGAAAATTTGAAAACAAAAATAAAATGTTTTTGGTGTTTCCTATACTAATTCTTTTAAAAAACAAGGAATTTTATTTCCCTACATGATTGAGCGTTCCTGTCAACAATTAGTTTCATTTGGAAACATGAAATCAGATTCTGCTTTTGTTTTATACTTGTTTGAAAATTGAGTTGTGATAGCATGTAACATGCATTACTAATGTTCTGAATTGCTTATGGACCAAATTCTATATTGTTTTCATTGCGTTTCAGGCTCAAAAAGCAGAACGCGATGCTAGTGATCTAAAGGGCACCATGAGGAAAAGGATGGAATTCCTCGATTTTGACTAAAACTTCCTGCCGCCTTCAAGCTCGTGGTCCTATCTGCAAATTTTAATGCAGCTGTGCCTCAAGTTTGATAACAATGTGTTGAAGAAAAAGTAATATGGTTGATGTGCATTTATCGTCCTTAGAAACTAGCGCGACATGAGACAGAATACTTCACAGCTAATAGTTTTTTTGGTTTCGTTTTTTGTAATTGAGATCAACCAGCAATCATCATTGATCCATGCCCCTAAAGTTGTTGCATTTGGATTATGTTAATGCATTTGAAAGCATGTTGTATGGTTTTAGATTCTTGTTCTCAGCTAGTGTTGTATTGCATAATATAAATTAAATTTGCACAAGAAAGAACAATTACAAACAGAACCAATCTCCTGTATTTGATACACATAACAGTTTTGTCCAAAAAATAAAAAATATACATAACAAGAAAAACTAAGAAGGAAAAAAAAAAAATCCTAAAATAGTTTTTACAAACTTGAGTAATGCTGTTCTAAAATGTTTTTTATTGCACAAATTTTGCAAGGGCGAATATATAAACTTGATTTTCAGAAGGAAAGTATATGAGAATCACTTCAAGTTTCAGCTCCTCTTGAAATATGACTTCGACCCTTTTCATAAACCACATTGCTTTATCAAGTTATCCAATTCCAATCTTTCACCATTACAACCTTTTTTTCTTTCTTTCTCTCTTCTGTATCTCTCAAAGACAGACAATAGACATGACACGACACTGATAATACACCAATATAGTAATATTTCCATTTTCTATGTAATTCTCACCTAGCTATCTTTATTTACTTAATCTTTAGAGTTGTATTTCCTCTATCCTTCTAATAGCTTCTTTCATATGTACTCTTTGTTCGGGGTTACTTTCGGCACAAGCCGCACCAATTAAGAGAAGTTGGAGCATACTATTCATTGAATTTGATGCACTCTTTTGTAACTCGGGATCAATCAATTCAGCTTCTCGTCTGTCAGAAATTGCTGTGAGAACCCATTGAACAACATCTGTACCGCCTTTACCATTACTGTGATACTGAGAAGGGAATTTCCCTGTCATGAGTTCAAGAAGGATGATTCCGAGGCAATAAACATCGGCTTTCTGTGAAAGCTTCTGGTTTTGAACGTAATCGGGTGTTTTGTACGCAAACATTGATTGCACTGCAATGCTCGGGTTGATCAGTGGTTGAAAAGCATAATCACTTAACAGAGGCTCATATTCATTAGATATTAGAACATTGCTTGATTTCAGGTTTCCATGAGGCAAATCGTAGGTGCAAAACTCGGTGTAAAGGAAGCTTAAACCTCTCGCAATTCCTTTAGCGATCTTTAATCGAATAGGCCAAGTTAATTCGGCATGAGATAATCCTCTGTCACCTGAAAAAGTTACATAATGACATAAACAAAATGCTTATAGTATAAACTCTTGCAACTACAACCGCAATTTAAAACCAGAACTTGACGTAAGTTATCGACGAACTAATAAAACATGCATACCATGCAAGACGTATAACAAGCTTCCTTTAGGCATATACTCGGTAACGAAAAGCTTTTCTTCTCGCCTATAGTGATACGCCAAAGGAGTCAAAATATTAGCATGTCGAATCCTCCCAAACTGTCTCATCTCAGCATCGAACACATCTTTACCGATTTTATTCATCTCCCTCATCCTCTTCACAACGACACTCAACCCGTTTGCCATTGCAGCTTTATAAGCCGATCCCAATCCGCCGTTCCCCAATACTTCAGCAGCAGCTTTCATCAGATCCTGTAAACCAAATGAACCCTTCTCATCATTCACCATCACAAGATCACCTAGCCCAGTTCTATTCCCACCCCCCATTCCTCCTCTTTTCGACGATTCTCCCACGTTCCTTCTCCCGACTCTCTCTGATGCGGACGAAGATCGGCTTATCGGCACGTTCACTTGCATGACTTCTTCGACGCTGGAGTCTTGGCTGGAGTCTCCGCTCACGACGCTGAAATCGTCGTCGCGTCTTCGTTGTCGAGATTTCAGAAGCATAAATATAGCTGCTGCTATAACTGCCACTATCAGAATCATTATCACTTTAAACACCAAACCGGATTCAGAACCGTTTTCTGTTGGTATATCTGGTAGCGAATACTCGGAGTCGGAGGAAGATGAAGCGTCACATGGATTTTCCAACGGTTTTCCACAGAGACCTTCATTTCCGGAAAACGAAGCTGCACTGAATTTGGACAGGCCTTCAGGAATAGGACCTTCTAACTTGTTATTCGAAACGTCTAAAGATTTGATAGCTTGTTTGAGATCCGGTAACCGGCCGGAGAACTGGTTTCTTTCGAGATGAAGCTCTATGAGGAGGTCGAGTTGGGTTAAAGAAGCCGGAATGTTGCCGCTGAATTTGTTATCGCTGAGCCAGATTTTTTTCAGGGAGGTTAAATGACCGAAAAAGTCCGGCGGAATAGGGCCGGAGAATTGGTTTTGCGTGAGGAGAAGAGACTTGATGGTGCCGAGTTTGCTGAACAGCGGCATTGGACCGGAGAATGAGTTGTTGATGAAGCTGATTGTTCTGAGGCCACGAATCTCGGCGAGAGCTTCGACGTCTATAGTTCCGGAGAGGCCGAGGTCGGAGAGATGCAGACCTGTGATCACATTGTTGAAGCAGATAACACCAGTCCATGTGCCTGAACATGGAGAGACGTTTGGGATCCATGAGGCTAAGATTTTATCGGAGTTTGTGAGGGATTGTTTTAGTTTGAGGAGGGATTGAGTTTCTGAGGGTGGTGGTTGTGCGGTGGAGAGAGAAAGTAAGGAGAGAGAGAATAGGAGGAGGAGGTGGTGGTGGTGGTGGTTGGCAGCAGCGGCCATTTGTTGTATTGCCAGCTGCCGAGTGTTATTATAGTAGACAGTTGTTGGTCGGAGAGGTTAATGATGTTTCTGTTATTTTGATGTTTTTGTTGTTTTTGGTATTTGGTGGTGGCGTAAGAGAACGAGTGGTGTGTCATGTTGGTGTGTTTTGTTTATGTTTGTGTTTTTGGGATGTTGGTAATGTGGAGAGAGAGGTGATGATGGTGTTTTGCCACAAATTGAAGTTGGATTCTAAGAATAGAGGTTGCATGAAAATAGTTTGGGTTTGTTACGATAATTTTGGAGTTGATATAGGTTTAGGGGATTTCTTGCGTTGACCAAGTCACATGTATTATATATTTGAGACATGTTTCTATTTTTGGTATCATCAATCAAAGGTTAGTTATAGCGATTGCAAACCGGCGCCCGTCCCATTTAGTCATGTTCTGCAAAATTTTAGAAAAAAGGGACGGGATAGGGTGGGGCAGGTATAAGGCAGGTACTTAGGGTCTGAAATCTTAATATGCCCCACAGGAACATAAGGGTTAAGGCGTATCTGCGGACAGTGCACTTTTAAAATCTTAAAATTGCAAAAGTTTATATTAATATCAAGATTGAAAAAATGGAGCGGGGCAGTGCAAACATATTAGCGGGTGTGGATCTAAAACTTTGATCCGTCCCATGAAAAAATATAGACAAATCGAACATGTCGACTGGTCAAGTCTGTTTTACCACCCCTAAAAGCATTTCACATTGGACAAACTTCTGAGATAAGGTATAGTAAGTATGTTATTTTTCACATGCTGACTGAGGTTAAAAACTACTTGATACTAATTTCATTTTGTTTAAAAGAATATATATCTTGTGTCAATGATAAGATTCAGATTATGAAACACATTACATGTAAATAATAGATTGTTTCTAAGACAGCATTGTGCAGGTTCATTCTGATGCTTCTCCAAATCATAGCACTACCTTGAAGTGAAAGCCTGCACATGTGAAATTTTTTCCTTAATATATATAAAGTTTAATATATTATTTATTTACACATTCATATTCATAGTCGACATAGTCGACGTGAGACTAATCTATAAATAAAACTTAGTTAAACATAATAGAAATGAAGCGAACAATATTAATTACCGAGAAAATGTTGCAGTGACCGGGATCAGCAAGATGAGCCATCAAATTCTGAATAGGACTATCTCCAACATAAACAGCTTGAAAACAAAACCCGACAAAAGCGAGCATAGCAAGTCTTCCATTCTTAATTTCTTTAGTCCTCAAAACCATAACAGGCTCAGGTGACCCTCTTCCCCACTGCATAAAATCAAACCAAAGCCCACCCGGATAACCAACATCTGGTTTTGGGTTAGGCCTATTTGGAAACTTGGGCTCAATATCAACACTCCCCGGGTTGATGATATCGGCCCATCTTCTACCTTCAACCCAACCCATTAAAGCTAGTTGAACAATAAATAGGGTTATCGGGTCTGCGAAATAGTGTACTGAACCTGCATTGTACCATGAGAAGTTTTTTACATAACCCATTCCTTCGAGTATTTCGGGGATTAAGATTCCTGATACTCCTAACATTGCCCATCTTCCATGCACTAGTTCTGCTTGCGCAAACCATTTTAGTGTCTCTGGATCAGAGCCTGAGAGAATCAAATTCACATGTTAATAATTAATTGCTGGTGAATCAATACTTAATAATCACATACTCGAACACCAGATGACATAGACACAAACACAGACACAGATAACACCAAATGACTTAGACAAAGACACATATGACATATATATAGATACGGACATCAGATGACATAGACACAGATACACAGACAAATATAACGCTGAATGACATAAGCAGAGACCTGAACATAGATAACATCAAATGACATAGACACAGATGACACCAGATAACATGTACACAGACACGGACACAAATAACACCAAACATAGAAGTGCAAACATAAATCACATATATATAAACACGGACACATATAACACCAAATAACATAGACAGAAACACAAACACGTATGACATATACACAGACTCGACGCAGATAGCATAGACACTTGCACGTGTAATAATTTGAATACACAAAAGTGATTAAATATAATCAAATGGACTAATGCGTGGTGTCCCGTCTACGGCAAATGCCAACACATCTCAAATTTAAAATATCGTTGCTATATAGACCAATAGATTATAAACATTTTTATGTGCTTAGTGAAAGTAAGACATACCTAATCCAAGAGGGTCAAAACCAAAATCACCAGGAAGACTACCATCAAGCCATTCAGGAGCTGAACTACCAGGAAACCACAATGGCCTATCTGGAGGGAGTGGTACACAAACATCCGACACACCTTTTTTCGCATTTCTAATCGTAAGTGTTCTTCTTCTACTTAACCATGAAGTTCTTGCTGTTCCTTGCTGTAAAACCTTTTGACATATCTCTCTGCATCAAAATACAAAAATAACTATATAGTATATATAGTATAATGAAAATAAGTTAATTTAAATGGTTGAAACAAAAGAGTTGAACCTGTTTGGAAAACTTGACAATGAAGTGGATGAAATGGCTAAAGCCATGACTCAGACAAAGCTGAATTTCTTGATGGAATGGAAGAAATGTTTTATCACATTATCTGTTATTGTGTGTTTGTGGAACAGAAATTTAATGAAGGGACAATATAGTATTTGAATTTCACACGTGGCTTTGATATGGGAGCTTCAAATCAGAACATGAATTAACTTTTTTTCAGATCAGATTATGTCAGTTAAAAAATACTTGGGCTCGGATAATTGAATTAAGCCCAAAATAGTTTTTGGCTTTTGTGAACTATGGATTGCTTTTTGCAACCTTGTTTTTTCTAATAAAACTACTGCATAAAAGTATGTACTTTTCTTTTCCCACCCTTTTAGTTTATTATAAATCTTTCGAAAACTCAAAAAATGTCATTTAAAATTTAGAATTAAGCATTCGAATGATAGAATGTAAAAAACTGTTATTATAGACCATGTCCAAAATTAAAAACTCATACTCATCATTCTTTTTCTTCTCAATTCAATCTTTATAAGAAATATTTCATATGCACGGAATATTGTTTTCAAATGACAATGTAATCATCAATAGACTCCAAACACAACATTTTTGTTTGATTGTAAAAGTAACGTGTTTCTATAATCTTCCTCTTTGCATTTTTAGCATCTTCATTCCATTTATGTCACACACTATAATGATATAATTCAGATGGTAGAATTCAAACATACATGCATCTGATGTATGTTCCAAATCTACTATCCAAACAAAAACAAACCAACCCATCACACACATTCAAATGGTAGATTCTAAAATATGTGTTTACCGTAAATATTTGCTTGCGTTTTTCAAATATGAATATTCCCACCAATAAAAAAAATAACTTTGTATTTATGATTGAGAAAAAATTTATTTCACAAAATAAGTTATTGACATGAGTGTTGGAATTCAACCACGATTTATGGTGAATTCTTCTTAATCTTGATCTCAAGATTGTTATGTAATGACAATGAACAAAAATAAGAATAGAAGATAAGCATGAACTACAGCAGAGTAACTCTCTGTCCACATCTGTAGAATTTTATTATCACTTTGCAACTGTAAAGCCGTGATTATCAAACTTAATGATTACAATGATAAGAGTTTCTCCCTATTTATATATTTAGGTTGTTCCGGACTGGACAAATGGCTAGGCATGACCCAATTCACTTCTGCTCCCAGAACTGCCCAATAGCCTAAGTTCTGCCAGTTAAGGGCAAAGGAAAACATTCTCTCCTCTGCCCTCTAATGAGGAAGGATGGCCAGCTGACCTCCAGGATCAGCTGCCCCTCGTCACATTTCTGCTTGTCACGCATGGTCCCACCACTCAGAAACAATCACGACGTCCGTACCCGCGACCACGCCCTTACCCGCAGCAACGACTAATTTCGAGCACCTCTGTCCGTCCCAACGACTAGTTTCTGACAGTTACCTATTCTTTTGGAGTGAATATATCGCCCTGAAAATAGGGACCAATGCCCAAGCACTGGGGGCATTATAAAAACCCTCTCATTTGAGAGGGTCAGGTATTCTAAATCATTCTAAATCATCCTAAGACATACTCTCTTTGTACTTGCCTTCTCTTCTCCCGATTCTTACTTAGCATCGGAGTGCCTTGCCGGTACACCCCCTCCTCATCTTTGAAATCCAGCATCGCAGACGAAGTCTCTGATCCATTTCAGATTTTGATCAACCGGTAAGATCAGTGGCGCCGTCTCTGGGAAACTTTGTTCTCCCAGTCTTTCTTTCCTTGTAAATCCAAGACCAAAACAATTCTTTCAAGATTCCAATCATGGCCAGCCATGACAATGTTCACGATGCTCACAATGTCATCCTCCCCGTCAGCAAGACAGACGCTGACAGACCAACCCCTTTTCTTGGGAGCGACGCCCATCAGCAAAGAGATGGAGCCACCGCGTCTCTCTCATCCGATGACGTTAACAACATTGATGTCCATCCCTCCGAGGACCATCAACCCGTCCCAATTTCCCCTAACACCGATCCGGCCATGTCGGTCCTACTTGAGGCCCTCAATAAGACAAATATTTTGATTTGAAATTCTGGTATGCAGATCTCAAATGTCCTAAGAGATGATAAAAACATTGATCTCTGCTAAAACAGAACAAGGACAGAACATGTGCATTTTAATTCACTTTAAAAATTAGCAGTTTCGTGACATCTGCTGTAACATCTGCAGACTGACAGAACAATTTATCTAACCATTTAAATTGAACAGAATGTTAAATGCAGAAATATAAGTAACTGGTCGATGTTATATCGGATGTTATGACATCCGTTTCTGAACAGATTATTAAACTTAGCAGTAAACAGGTAACCAATGCAGTAAAGAACCCAATAAATTGTTTACCCAGTTCGGTGCAACATCACCTACATCTGGGGGCTACCATGGCAGGAAGGAAATCCACTATTAGCAGAATTAATTCAGAGTTAAACTCCCAGTTTACAACTCCTCACTTAATCTCTACCCAATGCAATTTCTGCCTAGAATCCACTAGACAAGATACATCTCTCACTCCCCCTCAATCACAGTAGTGATATCAATTTAGCACAATAAAGAGACTTTAGAAGACACTCTTCAAAGTCACAATACTCGATTTTGCTTAACAGCTTCAATTAAGAACAATACACCCTTGCTTATAAGCTTTGAGTGAACAATTAACAATTAACAACTTAAACATGTCTACCACGATGCATCCAAAGATACAAAGGGTGACTTACAAAGTCACACACAAAAGACTCTCAAAACCCTAAACCCTTATTTTACACTCAAGTTTTTCTTGTTGTGAGTGCTTGATTTTCCTTGCTTCTGCGCCTCCTTAAATAGTAATGCAATCTGGGCTTGGGCTGATCAAAAGTAACAGCAGGGAGAGAAGATTTCAATGTTCATAAATTGCAACAGAAATTAGGTTTAACCAAGTTAATTCAATCTCCACAATTCACGGTGCTATCAAATAGGTCATAGGCGTTTCATGTTATGCTCAGCACTGCCTAGAGTCTCGCCTGAGATAACTAAGGAACCCTAGCAAGTTTCCCGAAATCTAGTCTGAGATAACTCAGGAACCATAATAGAAAAACAAACACACGCCCTTGCTGGCATCTATCCGATGTCATAACATTCAGCATGACATTCAATACACTCTGTTCTAGCTAACCAAACTTACCCAGCAGTACAATACACAAGTATGTCATGACATCAGTCAAGACATCTACACACATCAATGTTTTACCATAAAATACAGTCAATCAAGAACATCTACAAACTCCCATTCTTCTGCAAAATCTTCTTCATAACAGTAGAAACAAATATATTATAGTTTCCTAAAAAGTCTCAAAGATCATTTTTATGAACACCAATTAAATTTGCACTTTGTTCCAAATAAATCTCTTTGACCTGCACACACTGATGAGGTATATCCAACAAGATCTCATCAAACCAAAGCACCTCTGTAAAATAGCAGCTCCTGCTGTACCAGACAAAGATGTCATGACATCTGTCTTGACATCTTGATTAAAACACATGACAACAGTTTTGTCTTGACAGTAGATGAAGATGTTATAACATCTTGCTTAACATCAGTGTAGAATCATGTTTTACCAAAATTTATCCAATCATAGAACCATGGACCATCATAGAATCATGGAACTAACAATCCCCCCTTTGGCAAATTTTGGCTAAAACAACCAAACAAACTTATCAGGGAAGCAACAACAGTAGTTTTCTCAAATACATCCAGCCTCACAAACTATCATGCTCCCCCTTAATAGTTACATCCAGCAAGCAACACCAACACCCTACTCTTCCCTTAGCAGTAGCAAAGTCCTATCACAATGTTGGTCATCATGTCAATACATGTGACATAACATCATGACAACAGATAATGTCAATACTTTACTCCCCCTTTTCAGTCAAAAATTAACAACAAATGGAGTAAGTGTGCACACATAAACTCAGATGCACACAAATAACAGAGCCAAACCCAAAAACTGAATCAAAATCACAACCTCCCAGGAGATAAACACAGACTAAATCAGATACACAAGCTTCTTGATCCCTAATCAATATAAGGACTACACCACTTCAACAATAATCCATGGACACTGGCTTAACCACAACTGAACTCTAGCTTTCAAATCACCCCCTGCTGAACTCACTCAAACACAATAAAATCAATCCTGATTCCAGCCCATCATATATGACATCAACTCCTTTACCACTCACTTTGGTTCTTTAAGACACCAACCACAAGGCTTATTATTTCCATAGTAGTCCATATATAGGATACACATGAAGTTCTCAGTAGAACACAACAACAACAGCTTAATAGATCATCACAAACACCAGAACATCATAGAGAGAAATAAACTCTCATGTAGCTTCCTCAGAGACATACTGTTCAGACATCCTGTCTGACATTACAATAATTATTCTTAAGCACCTTAATCAATCAGTCAGACTCCAAGCACCAAGTCTTGGACTACATCTCCTTTTACTTTTTATCCCTTTTGCACAGATCCATCAATAAAACGAGTCTTCATCAAGACCATCATACACCATGCTTTATCATGATGAGAAACAACCTCCACAGTAAAAACTCCACATAGCTTTACCCTATGAACATAGTCATGAATCTTGAGTTCTTGCCTTGTCTGAAGCTGCACCTTCAGGAGTGACACTAGTTCAAACCAACAGTCTTACAAAGCCAGACCCACAGTCACATTGTCAAGAAAAATTACACCAGATAACACAATGTCAGGGCATCTTGTCTGACATTACAACCTCATCAGTGGTTCAAGAATACAAGCTTGCCTGAGAATCAGCAAACTTTGTACACAACTCCACATCAGCACAAGGTCACCACAAGCAATGCAGCTACACGTCATATAGGTACACAGCTCCCCTGTCATGCATAATCAACACTCCCCCTAAAAGAGAGAACCCAAACACATCAAGAACCACTTCATCACACACTGCAACTTTACACTCCTTGTT